AACTTTTATAAGGTATGAGCAGATCTAAAATGACGGGTGAATCATAATTTTATCTTCTTTTTAATTGCGGAAGAATAAGAAATTTTCCTATCTTATTAATCTTTTTACATTAACCCCTCCATTCACAGTGAGAGCCAATTTTCTACGAAATATATAAAATTATGATATTTTTGCACTTCACCGCGAATTAAAGCTAACTATTAAGATGGGTAAAACTTGATGGTTATCGGTTTTCAACACACTCGTATTTGAGAGAATTATTTAATAAAATTTGTAATATTATAAATTTTACCAAAAAGATGTCAATATCTCCATAACTGAGAAAAATGCAGGTTTTTTAAGGATTATTATGGTATTTATCAGTAGCAATTATTTATTACCCAAATAAAATAATCTTAAACTTGAATTTTTTTTTCTCTGAATCAAAATTCATTAAAAGGTATCTTTATAAAATATTAATTTGAGGATATTATAATGATATTATCTATATTCTTGTTGCTTTTCCTAATTTTTTAAATCTATCTGGGTATAATTTATAAATTTTATGAGCAATGTTTGGGATAAAAGATCATCATTCATTGAAGGTTTGTTTATAATTTTTATATCATTTATATAGGAAAAAATTTTGCAACCCAAGAGCATATTTAAAAAAAGAAGAGTAGGGGAGACCGGGGTATAATAAAAAATTGAAGTTCTATAAAAAAAAAATATAAGTAAATTTTCAAAGTGTTTAAACGTAATTTTATTCTTTACATATATCTCCACGATAGAAATTAATATTTAGGAAAAAATTCTTTTAGTTTTTTTAATTATGAATAACACTCAAAGTACCTGTTACCGTATAGTGTTGTAAATATTTTTTATATATAAATATTAATCCTAAATAAATAAATGAAAATAAATTGTCAAATATATTAAATTAATTTACTAGGTTCATCTATATTATATATATATCACCCAGAAGAACTTGTCATTTAAATAAATAAGTCAATCATTTTCAGATTGTGAATAGTGACTTTAAACAAACTAGTGGCTGGCTTCTAATGTCCTATAAATATAGTTGGATTTTTCATTCAAATCCCTGCTAAAATACAATCAGGATATCAATTTAAAATTTAAGGATTTCCCTTTCTAACATAATACATGATAATAATTAACTTATTAATTATTTCTAGTATGGAAAATAGATAACATCATTAATAAAAATGTGAGGGTAGAACAATAAGCAGGTGTGACAATCGTATTTAATAACAAATTCAATTCCATTTCCTGGTATTGTGGTACTTATTCACAAAATATGACACATTGTTTATAACAGTTTTTATTGCAGGATTTACAGTTGTTTTATCACAGCTTATTATGAGAGCACAAAATGTAAACACATTTTTTAATATTTTGTTATCATTCAATTCGAACATCATATAAAAAAATAATTAAGAATTTTAATAGGGTAGATCGTGGAGCCTATGAGCTCTAAAAAGCAAACGTCGATAAAATTAACCTGAATTTATTCCACTTATTTACCTTTATGCTACAAATAAAAATAATTCTTAAAAAATTATACCTTTTTAAAGTATTAATTGTTCCGAAAGGATGAGCTATACCAGGAGAAAGATGAGGCTCTCCATGAAGTGCCTTTGAGATGCAAAATATTTATTATTTTTAAATATAAAAATGATAGATATATATTATAACTAGTTTATTGAGAATAATAAGGCCTGATGGAAAATAATTACAAAAAATTAGTGAAATTTATTGGCAATGTAAACAAATAAAGAATGTGAAATTGATAGGATCCATGTGCTCAAAAAGTGCATTTACAACAAAGACCCATAAACATTTTCGATGCAGCTCTCTCTTAAATATTTGTCTTGATGTAGACAATTCAAATCTTGTTGTTTCCTTTAGCTTGATTTATATCTTTTTAGGTTGCATTAAGTTCGTTTTCTTCATAACGGCTAGCAAGGACGGATTTTCATTAAATATATTAATGATTTCATTATTTGTTAGTTGTTTTTTTTCCAATATAATTTCCTACCATATTCAAATCAATAAGCAAATTCATAAATTTTAAATAATAACGCTTAAAAAGCTCATATGAACCTCTGAAAAGTAGCCCTAAACTTGAATATCTTTAAAATAAATTTTATGATAGTTTTTTTTATTCAAATAAGGAATAATTTTATATAGAATAAAGCTTAATCATTTATATAAGACAGTATTATTTTATATAAGACAGTATTATTTTATATAAGACAGTATTATTTTATATAAGACAGTATTATTTTATATAAGACAGTATTATTTTATATAAGACAGTATTATTTTATATAAGACAGTATTATTTTATATAAGACAGTATTATTTTATATAAGACAGTATTATTTTATATAAGACAGTATTATTTTTTATAAGTGCATAAATAAGTTACTTTTCTATTGTGTTGTAAAAATTTTATATTTGATCCGATATTAAAAAAATTATCGTCACATATGCATAATATAGTTATACATATTTGGTTAAAAAATTAACCATTACCAGGAAGAAAACTCCATGGCTAACAAGAACCTCGGGCTAATTAAGATCCCCGGTCTCCCCTACCCCTATTTTCATCGTTCTTTCGAAAAAATTCTCATTCAAAAAGAATTTTTTTTTTTTTAAAAATTTAGATTAAGTTTATAATTTATTCATAAAAACAATTCTAAATTTATTTGCTTAAAAAATTGTGCATCAATCGTAATGCAAAATTTAATTTATAGCTAAATTAATATTACATATGAAAAAAATTTACATATTGATGTTAAATAATTAATGGGTGTCATAATTAGGCAAGGATTTATATATTCCTTTATATGAGAAAAATATCCTTCACAATCATCAACTGATATCTATAGATTTAAAAGGGGAAAAATTAATGCAATAATTTCATCAAAATGTTAAATTATAATATATACTTTCCAAGTTCCAAGTAATTATGTACATGCGACTTGCATTTTTTTAACAATATTTTCCATATAAATGAATATATTTCTTTTTAGTGTTTTCAAAATGACATAATGATGGTTATTAGAAATAAAATAATTAAAGTCATTCTTAACCTCCTTCATTAAAAAATTTGATTCCATATTTCCAAATCTTAAAAAGCAAAATTATCCTGGTACATAAAAAATAAAATATTTGAGTATTCTTATCTATAAAAAAATCACAACTTTTTTTATTTGATAAGTTTATAAATATTCCTTTTTAAAATAGATTATTTCGATATTTAATAATATATTTTTATGAAATACCAATGATGTATAAAATTATATAAATTTATTTTAAAAAATTTTAAATAATTTTATAGATATTCCACTAACTTTTAATAAAAAAATTATAAGTTTAATGTAAAAAATTTTCTTTAATAAATGTTTGTTTTGAATGAGAATTTGTTGAAAGAACAATAAAAATTGAGGCATTTACATTTTATTTTTTTATGATATTTGAATTGAATGATAACAAAATATAAAAAAATTCGTTTATATTTAGTGATTTCATAAGAGTTTAAGTGTGAAAACAATGGTAAACCCTGTATATAAAGGATTCTTAATACTAATGTTTTAGATATATCAAAAAATAGCCTAATTCCAAATTCTATGGGATAAGGAAGTCATAAAAAATATGATGATGAAGAAAACAAAAGTTATTAATCAATTACATTATATATAATTTTACTCCTCATTTATAATTGTTAATAAAACATTAAAATTTGTTTAAAATAATCATTCTTGTTTTTCAAATTAGATTATTTAAATGTTCAGAAGTGCCCATTTCTACTACTCTGGTTTGTTGGTGTGAATTTCCTTTTCCTAGTGGCAATTTAAATATTAAAAACTTAAAATTTATAGAGACAGACCCCTGCAAATTAGATTTTTTTCCACTCAAGTCAACCCAGTCCTAAAAAAATTTCAAGTTCTAGCCCATCTAAATATTTTATTAATTTTTTCAGGTCCAAGCCCATATTTTTTTAAGCCTAAGCCAAAATTTATATTATATAAGCCTGAGCCAGCTTTGATCTTTTTGATTAATACATTACATTTTTATAAAATAGAATATAAAATAAAAGCCTAATTCCTTTGTCCTAATCCTGAAGAAGTTTTAATTATCTTTATAATTATTCTAAGCCCAAAGCTAGGCCAGTCCAATGTTATTTTAGAGCTCAAACTGCTTTTAAAAAATTCATTTATAGACTTTAACTCAGCCTCAATACCCTTACATTTTCTTATAATGGCTATTTGAAATAAATAAGAAACCATTTTATGAAGTAATCTCATGTTTTATTAGTTTTTATTATTTTATAACACATTAATTTGGATGCTCCCTATAAAGTAATAATTTTATAAATAATTAAATAAAAGATTTTTTAAAAAAACATCAAAATAATTTACAAAAATGCATTAAAGAAAAAAAGAAAAATATAAAAAAAACTTACTTAGTGGGAAGTTTATAAGAGTCCAGGCATGATAAATTATATAAATTAAATTATAATTATCTGAAAATCTACCTTCATTAAATTTATATTAGATTTTATATCATATATTTTAATTCAAGATCATTTTATGCCAAATGGCAGAGCCCTTCTATTTTGATAAGCAGATCAATGTAACAAAGACACAGTTAACATTTAACACCCCCCCCCCATCATTTACTTATACTTATGGATATATTAGAAAGTAAAGTAAAGAATATTTTTACTTTTATTAATTCAATGATTTAATTCTAAAAATAAATATTATTAAACCTATGACATATAAAATAAGTGAAATAATGATATAATATAGTTTAAAAAAAATTTAAATCAATGTAAAAATCAGTCTAATCAATTTAATTCTGATCACCAAATATTGCAACAATTAAAAATGTGGATCTAGACCTATTCAGAGTCAAATTTTTAAATAAATTATATAAAAGATATTTTCCTTTTTTAAGTCTATCTAAAAAAATTATGTTATTAAGTATACTTGGAATATAGATAATAATTTAATTATTCCTATGTACCTAAGAAATATAATAATGTAATTAAATTGAGAATCTATTTACATCAAATTTTTTATGCATAAAATAACCAAAGATTTGTCTACATCCGCTTTTTGCGATATTTTTAAAATATGGTTATAACTATTAATATGAAGTAAAATCTAAATAAAACAAATTATTATTTTATATATATATTGATACCTGCTGCATGCTCAAATCAAATTTCATATTATATAGTTTATTATTTTCAATCATTATTGGAACATCATAGTCATTAATTTTGTGAATATTAAATAATCTATTTTCTATGTTAAGTTTTAAATGTATCATTTTTCCATTTCCTTTATTTATATAATCAATTTATGTATAATTAATTACTATCATACCCAATGATAATGAGCACATTCCATACATATTCAATTTAAACCTGATATCTTTTAAAAGAGTAAAGAATAATAATTTATTTTTAGATTCAGATAAATAAGCATCTTCAAGCTGAATTGCAAATAATAAATTATAAAATATTAATTAACAACTTCAAATCGTTTAAGATAATTAGATAGTTTTTTAACAACTTTCTCAAATGGAAATATGTCCATATCTCTTTTAATAATGAAACATACATTAAACATAAACATATTTCTATCATATTTTGAATTTTTTAAGCATAAAGGATGGCCTATTATGTATTTTTTCTCTAGCGCTCTAATTGAATTTAAAATTAAAACTTTATGTAAAAGATACAAAGTAATGGTATGTCCTTGTAGTAGAGGTTTGGTTATTATATAAAAATGATTGTTATCGAATATTGCCTTTGATAAATAATTATTTGGATTCTAAATTTAACTTAATCAACAAATAACTTTAATCTAATACTTGATATACTAATCTAGGCCCTTCCTTAGGGTCAAATATGCTAAAAATTATAGCATCAATCATATTGTAGATTTGGATACACCTTTCTAAAAAGAGACAAACAAACTAAAATGGCGTCTAATATGGCCCGTAGGGCTCATAATAACTTATTATGTTATTAATAAGCTTGAAGCGAGAGAATATAATATTAAATTATAACATAAAACCAATGACATATTTATATGTTATTGCATAAAACTTACATGAAAAATATAAGTTGAATATATGGGATAATTTATACTGACTAAACAATGTATAGGTTAAACCTTTGGTAAACATGATTTATAAGAGGGCAAATAGATAAAGTTCTAAATATTTTCGTAATTTTTGGGACTTTAAAAGACACATTTTAGACATTAAAGGATTATGTATATTTTATTTTATTAAATCACCACAATATTTGGTGGTACTGGACTAGAGTTTTTCTGAAATCATTTAATACCTGTTCTTAAAAAAAAGAGCTGAAAATATTTTTGACAAACCAATATAAAATTAAAATTAGGCCATTATTATAAAATAGTTTTGGATCATTCTTATATCCATATATGTAAATATTATTATTAACAAGAGATGATTTATTCAATAAATAATCCAATTCTAATATCATTATTCTGGATATTAGTTTTGAATCATTCTTATATTAAAAATTTTTTATTCATCCCAAAGATTATACATACCTTCCGTTGTAGATAATCTTCACCTCCTCTGAAATATTATTAGACGTGGAAGTCTATTTAAAAATTACTCTCGAATCTATTTTAAACATCAATCATCACTCTCCTGGATGCAAACAACCTTTCCACCAAAACTAGGAAGTATAGGTATCCAATCCCCCAAATCCTTGAGCATTTCAGCCTTTCTATTTTCTGTTGCTAAATTTCTACACTTGGAGACTTGGATACTAACGACCAGTGTCTACATGGCCGGGGGGGGGTAGGAGACAAATGCCTCCAAAAAATATTGGCATTTTGGGGGGTAGGTATTAATTTTGGGGGGTAGATATTGATTTTTGGGGGGTAGGCATTTGTTTTTGGGGGGTAGGTATTGATTTTTGGAGGGTAATTTTTGACTTGTATTATGATATTTTTAAATCCAATAATCGATATGATTATCGTTGATTTTCTGAAAAATGTCAATTAAAGAAAAGATATCTGTCAATTTATAAATATTATACACTATATTTATTTTTTTAAATTTTTAGAAAATTCATTTACATAATGGGATTTAGATTTTCACAGTATCAATTTTAAATTATCAATATATATTTTTTTATAATAAGGACCTTTTGAATAAAGAATCCCTTTTATGATAAGATAATCCTACTCAATTAACAATATAAAGAAACATTTTTGGATTTTAAAAAGGTAATTTTTTAAGCATATAATTGCATTTTCCTTAATTTGATGATAGATAAATAAATATAATAAAGAATGAAGCTATTTTTATTTAATCTTAATATGTATACTTAATAAGTTATCTGGGTTTTGAACCATGGCAATTATTTTTGCTAATAATTTTTTAAATAATCATTTTCAATGGGGTAAATATTACCACATTTTTGTGAGGCAATCAGGTTGGACCCATAATTGATTTCTATTTATGATAAATGATTCTTTGAGGTAAGTGTAAATTATATACAAAATTATAAGTGAGAGGTGAAAACCATTGTGTGATAAAAAATTTGTTAAAAGAATTGATAAATTTTTTATTTCATTATTAGATAAATTTTATATAACATCAAATTTTCCATAATATATTTGGCCTTTTTTCTAAATATTTATAGAAATCTTGGGAGAATGAACAGATAATCTATTCCTCTCATTTGATTATTGATTTAAGAAAAGATTTCAATTAAATGAATTGACAAAGTGATTCCATATACTGAAATATTGTTTATTTTTGTTAACAATAAATTAAATTTTTGGATATGGCTTGGGAATAATCTTTGAAACCTATGATGTGGTTTGGGTTTGGATTTCCATTAAACATGAACTGGGCCTGAAAATTATTTTTACTTATGACCTAGGCTGGATGAAGAAATCAATGCCAGTGAAGGTCTCTAATTTCAATGATTAAAATATATCATTTCTCAGACTTTATTTGAAGATAAATGAATGGGCAAATCACAAATATGCCTGTTTTCAATTATTTGCAAAATTTATTAGGATTGTTAATTTAAAGAAACTATGATTTCAAAGCATCATACATTTCTAAAAATTGTTGGACACTAAGAAATAAAGAAATCAATTGTGAAGTGTATAATGGAGGAAATATTGATCCATGATTGTTTTGGCATAAATAACAAAAAATATTATATTTTTTGTGACCATGCATTAAGCTTACATATAATATAATAGGAATCTTTTAAGAAAACATTATCAAAAATATAAGTTAATAGCTGATAGTCCATTATGAATGACTGGTAATCAGAATTTTCTTCTTTATTCAATGATGGGTGCATAATAAATTTCCTTTATATGATGATGATTGAATCAGTAAATTTTTCATTATTTTTATAAAATATGTTAATAGAGTGTATATTTATGAATTTTAATTTAAAAACAATAAGGGTCTAGAATATATTTTTTTGATTATAAATTACAAATACAAATGAATAAGAATTTATTTTAAAAGATTTTAATATATTTTTTAGATTAAAAATATAATACAAATGAATAAAAATTTATTGTGCACATATATTAAAATATCTAAATATATATTTCTTTAATATATTTTGTAAAACCACTGGAAAATTTTAAAATTACACCCTCATTTAAACAAATATAAATTTAATTTCTGAATCACACCTCATAAGATAGGAGAATTTTAAGATTCAGCCATCCACCGTCAAATAAAGGATAAAATTATGATTCTCCATCATTCTTGATGGCCATCAGTGAGTAAAAAAATATTATCTAAATATTTATTTCATTTTTATTCTAGATGCCAAGTAACAAAACAATATATAAAGTCAAATGTGACTATATTAATTGTAAAACTTCTAAAATAAGAAGTGACAAAATAAATAACCATTATAAACATAAACATCCTCATGTCAAGTTATCTGATATCAAATTTACAAAGATAGCTATCAAAAAGGATAATAATTGGGTATCCTTAAATAAAGATATTCCATTCAATATCACAAATGGGGTTGAAACCAAGTTACAAAAAAAATCAATAACATCTTACTTCCAAAAAGTAATTTTTTATATATATTATTTTAATTCATGACAATAAATATAAGTAAAAATAACCTTAAATTTTGTGAATTAGTAGAAACCAATTCTTCATCTATAATTTGAGCATAATACTTTTAATTTTTATTAAAGATAAGATTTTTAATATATAGGTACATTTTTATTATGCCCTTTATCAATTTTGAAGGAAATAAATTATAAGAATATTTAAATATTTCAACTTTTGTTAAAAAAAAATTTATATATTATAATTAAGAATAAAATAAGTCATTTGCCTAAAATTTTCACTACTCTTTATTTAATAATTAGCACAAATCTTTTATTGAAGATTCCCAAATTATATTATCTCATACAATGCCCAGTTCCAGTGATCTGCTGATTTTGAATAATGAGGTACTTAATTTAAATAAGATTTGTTTTATAATTTTGAAGGGAATAAATGAGGATATTCAGATATTTTCATGAACAAATTTTAATTAATCTTTATTTAATAATTAGCTCAAATCTTTTACTGAAGATTCCCAAATTATATTATCTCATACAATGCCCAGTTCCAGTGATCTGGTGATTTTGAATGATGAGGTACTTAATTTAAATAAGATTTGTTTGATAATTCTGAAGTGAATAAATTATGAAATATTTTCCACTTTTCTATATCTTAATTAAGAATAAAATTTTTATTAAAATTAAGATTTTCATAAGTAAACAAATTTTAACCACTCTTTATTTAATAATTAGCATGAATCTTTTATTGAAGATTCCCAAATTATATTATCTTCTCATACAATGCCCAGTTCCAGTGATCTGCTGATTTTGAATAATGAGGTACTTAATTTAAATAAGATTTCTTTTATAATTTTGAAGGGAATAAATGAGGATATTCAGATATTTTCATGAATAAACAAATTTTAATTATTCTTTATTTAATAAGTAGCACAAATCTTTTACTGAAGATTCCCAAATTATATTATCTCATACAATGCCCAGTTCCAGTGATCTGGTGATTTTGAATGATGAGGTACTTAATTTAAATAAGATTTGTTTGATAATTCTGAAGTGAATAAATTATGAAATATTTTCCACTTTTCTATATCTTAATTAAGAATAAAATTTTTATTAAAATTAAGATTTTCATAAGTAAACAAATTTTAACCACTCTTTATTTAATAATTAGCATGAATCTTTTATTGAAGATTCCCAAATTATATTATCTTCTCATACAATGCCCAGTTCCAGTGATCTGCTGATTTTGAATAATGAGGTACTTAATTTAAATAAGATTTCTTTTATAATTTTGAAGGGAATAAATGAGGATATTCAGATATTTTCATGAATAAACAAATTTTAATTATTCTTTATTTAATAATTAGCACAAATCTTTTACTGAAGATTCCCAAATTATATTATCTTCTCATACAATGCCCAGTTCCAGTGATCTGCTGATTTTGAATGATGAGGTATTTAATTTAAATAAAACTATACACTCTTTAATAATAATTAGCAAACACACAAAGTTATTGAAAATTCCCCAATTATATCTTTTTTTCATCCAATTATCAATCCCAATGCAAGCCAAAATATTTCAAACATTAAAGGCCCAAATATTATTCAATTATATAAAAAAAAGGAGCCTAATGACCCTTTTCATTTCATATTCTTTAGAATGACAAATATCTTGATTAATTTCATAATTTCCATAGGCCCATGTCAGCCATGTTCAAATATATTTCAATATCCTGTTACTCACAAAAGGTTTTTAAAAAATTTAATTTTTATTAATTTTTACGCATCCATTATTTCTACTTTTAAATAGGAGCATGAATATATCCTATTATAAAAAGGTTAATATTGATGGTTCCCTCAAACCAAGAAATTGGTTATCCTATA